GGAAGTAACGTCCAGCAAAGCTGTCGTACTCTCACAGGCTCCCACAAAACCTGCTGCTGACGCTGGCGAGGATGTGCAGAGGCGGTACCGAGTGTACATCCTTGCCTACAGCCAGTGGATGGAGCGCGACGCTGTCGCACAGCGTGCCGTCCGAGCTCTCCTACCGGGCGACCATAGGCCAGGTGACGTCGGCCTAGACTTTGTTCGACGTTGTTGTTAGACACTACTCCTGCCGCCGAGCCTCTGCAGCAGCAGCGTCCGTTGTTAGGGGAGGTGCAGCCGCTAGTCGAGGAGGCGAGTGTAGGTACCTGTACGTCTGCTCGTACAGGTGGTGCAACTGGTGGACAACAGCGGCAGCAGAGTCAGCCGGAGACCCTCTTGCGGAAGCAGCTTCGGGAGTGGGTTTCTCAACGACGTGTCCCTGGTAAGAGGCTACTAGTCTAAGTGCCTGTGAGCCTGCTAGCACATGTGCAGCTCCTGCGGGGGCTTTTCACGCCTTCACGCTTGACTCGGGCACAACTCGCTGCTTCTTCCGCGACTGCACCACATTCACACCGCTCGCTGCACCTATCCCGATCACTTTGGTTGACTCCTCTGGGGGCCCAGTCATAGCACGTGCCTCCACTGTTCTTTGTGTCCGGCAGCCCCTTTCGGCTCACTCACAGGTCTCCACCTCCCCTCGTTCACTATGAACTTGGTGAGTAACGCTATCTTCCAGGACTGTTGTCACTGTTACTACTCCTGGGGGTGAGCTTTTGGCGATCTGTAGGGACTCATGAACTGGCGACCACCTCGCCACGTTCACTCGAAGACCCGGGTCTGGCCTGTTTACACTGACCACTGAGTCTGCAAAGGTAGCTGCGTCCGGTTTGGTCGCTGCGTCTTGCTTGTGTCGGTTACTCACACACCCTTCTCTTCTCTGGCACCACCGTCTGGGTCACCCCTCCCTGCCACGTCTACGTAGCATCCACTCCCGTCTCCTTGTCTCTGACCTCCCTAGGTCCCTGCCTCCGCTCTCCGGGTCGCTTGCACCGCTGTGCCTTCCCTGCGTCGAGGAGCGGCAGCGCGCTGCTCCTCACTCCTCCTCGTTTCCTCTGACCACTGCTCTTCTGCAGACTCTCCACATGGAAGTGTGGGGTCTCGCCCGCGTCAGTGGACAGGACCGCGAGCGCTAATTTTTTCTCATCGTTGACGACTTCACGCGCTGCACCACGGTCTTCCCCTTACAGAGCAAGGCGGATGTCCGTGGTGTTTTGATCCCTTGGATCCGCAATGTTCGTCGCCAGCTGACCAATCGTTTTGCTTCTACCGTCTCCACCCCCACAGCACTTCCCCGTCCCCCCCCCCCCCCCCTTTCTCTTCCTGGTTCCAGGTCCCCCCCCGGTAGACCCTCTCTCCCCACAGGGTCTTGCTCCCCAAGGTGTCTCTCATGTCGACCCACCCCCCTTGGTTGCACCTTTGGAGGTCTCCTCTGACACCTCTGGCCCAGCTAAGGGGGGTGACCCTGCTGCTGAGGACACAGCAACCACTCGCCGCTCGCCATGCTTAGAGAACCCCCTGGTTTTCCAACTCAGCCGCCATCGCTGCCTCTGCAGCCTGTCGCTGTAGGCTCCGGTGCTGCTAGGGGTGCGGACTCTGGGGGTGGTGACATTGGAGGTGCGGACTCTAGGGGTGCTAGTACTATAGGTGCTGACTCTGGAGGTGCTGAGTCTGGGGGTGCTGATTCTGGGAGTGGACAGCAGCAGCTGTCTCGTTGGCAGGTCGCCACAGCAGCTTCGCGAGTGGGTTCTTCGGCGAGGCCGCTCTGATCGTAGAGCTGGAGGTGCTGGTGCTGGAGGCGCTGGTGCTGGAGGTACTGGTGCTGAAGGTGCTGGTACTGGAGGTACTGGAGGTACTGGAGCTAGAAGTGCTAGTACTAGATTTGCTGGAGGCGTTGGTACTGGAGGTGCTGGTGCTAGAGGTACTGGAGCTAGAGATTCTGGTATTGTGGGTTCTCATCAGCAGGAGGCGCTCTCGCCACAGCAGCTCCGCGAGTGGGTTGTTCGGCGAGGCCACTCTGGAGCTGGAGGCACAGGAGGTACTGGTGCTGGAGGTGCTGGAGCTGGTGGTGCAGGAGGTACTGGAGCTGCGGGTACTCGAGGCACTAGTGTTGGAGGTACTGGAGGCACTGTTGCTGGAGGCACTAGTGTTGGAGGTGCTGGAGCTGGAGGTGCTTGCACTTCGTCCTTCCTCTCTTCCACAGCATGTTACCCTTCTGTCACCTCCGGCGTCCTCTCTTCCAGATGTTCGTGACCTTGAGTCTGACCGTACTCGTGCTGCTAGTCCTACTGTCACGCGTCACCTGGCCACACTTGTCACTGACCCTTCCTTCGAGTCTTCTGCTGCGTCTGCCTTAGTAACTTAGCTCGTTGACTTTGCTGCTACTTGTCGTTTTGACTACTTCGCGAGTCTTGTTACTGATTCTGAGTCTGACTGTCCTCCGTCCGTCAAGGGTGAGCTTGCCCTTGGTAGTGACATCCTTGAGGACAGGCATTTTGAGCTCGAGTGCCTCGCGGGTGCTGTACGTCATCTCGCTTCCATGCTGTTTTGCCCCGAGGGAGACCCGGATGCACTAGACATCCATCCCTACCCCTCGCTCTTATACAGAGGCGATCTCGAGTGAGTACCCCTCTAAGTAGCAGACAACCATGGATGCGGAGATGGCTTCTTGGAAGTCCAGAGGCACCTACGTCGACACAATTCCCCCTCTTGGGGCGAACATAGTCGATGGCATGCGGATTTTCAGGGTCAAGCGGCCGCCGGGTTCACCGCCTACCTTCAAGGCGCATTACATGGCACGAAGATTCAGTCAGAGACGGAGAGTTGACTTCTTCCAGACCTTCGCTCCCACCCGGAAGATGACCCCCTCTTCGGGTGTTACTGCACGTTGCAGCACAGCGTAACTACGAGCTCCACTTGCTTCACTTCAGCACAACTTTCTTGCAGGGCAGCCTTCACGAGGAGATCTGGCTTCACTGGATTGTTCCCTAAGGGTACCCAGTGGAGCCTTCGGCAGCCAGTCTACGGTCTCCGCGAGGTGCCCCGCGAGTGGCACGACACACTGACGAGTACACTTGTGGCTCATGGCTTTGCTCCTTCAACTGCTGACCCGTTGATGTGTCTAAGGCGGAGCTTAAAAAAGACACACCTGCACGGAACTGGGTAAGCTGTGCAACTATCTTGGCTTGCAGATCACCCGGGACAAAGCAGGGAGCACTACCACTCTGACTCAGTCACAAATGGTGCAGCAGGTCCTTCAACGCTTCCGCTTTCAGTTCTCCTCACCACAGTGCACTCCTCTGCCTACGAGCCACTCACTCTCAGCTCCACCTTTGGACGAGTTTGTAGAGCCGAGTGGCCCGCGTCCCGAGCTTGTGGGCTGCCTCATGTACCTGATGACGTGCACACGACCTGACCTCGCGTACCCTCTTAGCATCCTTGCTCGCTTCGTTGCACCCAAGAGACACACGAAGGAACACTGGACAGCTGCGCAGAGGGTACTGCGTTACTTGTGCAGTACATCAGGCATGGGGCTTGTGCTTGGAGGACGGGGTCGAGTCGTACTTATCGGGCACTTTGACGCTTCTTGGGCTGATGACCAGGAGACCCAGCGGTCGTCACAGGGTTACACTTTCAGCCTTGGCGCTGGTTCTGTCTCCTGGAGGTCCACCTGCTCGTCTTCTGCACTTAGTTCCAGTTGTGAGTCAGAGATCTACGCTAGGGCTATGGCTGCACAGGAGTTACGCTGGCTGACCTACTTGCTGAGTGACTTGGGTGAGCAGCCTTGTTCCCCTTCGGTTCTGTACGTCGACAACAAGGTCACGATTGCCTCTTGTCGGGAGCAGAGGCTGGAGCACAAAACGAAGCACATTGCTCTTCGTTACTTTCTCGCACGAGCGCTGCAGCAGCGTGGTCAGCTTCGTCTTGCTTACCTGGCCTCACATGCCAACACTGCTGATATCTTCACCAAGGCACTTGTGTTTAGTGATCTGCAGCGTTTATGCACTGCTCTTGGGCTTGTGGCCACTCTGCCTCATTTGCTTGTTTCTTAATCTAGTTTTGCTCCTGTTGTGCACTGATATATATTTGTATACATGCATGTTTACACTTGCTAGGTTGTGCTCAGTGTACTGCCATTGGTATGATAACTCTACTTGTGAACTGGCATTGTGACCGTTTGGTTGTGCTCGGACTGCGTAGTAATATTGAGATCCACCCTGCGCTTTGCTTTGCTTTGCTTATTCTCTTGACTGGTCTTGTGATCGTTTGTTGTGCTATCCCCCACAACGCATATGCTTGTTGTTATGTCTAGACTGAAGTGGGATAGCCTACAAAAAGTATAACCCATTAAGGTTAGTTTTGTACCCACTTCATTAATAGTTCAATCATTCCTGCTCGCTAGATTCTGGCAACCACCCCTACAATGCATACAATCTAACTCAGCAACGACTCATGAAATTTCCTTGCAAAACGTGTGTCGCAGAAACCAATTGAAACCAACCTGCAGATATTGGCTGTCACCAATCGACAACCGGCATTACTTATTGTATAATGCCCTTTTCCCTTTCGATAGATCCATGACTACCCAGAAACACCAGCAACGTTCTTTCATCGTGCGATGAATGGATGATAGATTTTTTCCATGCTATTGAATTGTTTGATTGATATTCGATTAGGTTCTTGTAACAATGCCTACTGCACGATTAGGTTCTTGTAACAATGCCTACTGTATCAAAAAGCTTGTGTTAGCCGAGAAAGTGAGCAGCACAATGCTCTCTCACTGCTGCTTCGCTTTACTAAATTCGCCAAGAGCAGAAACGTAACAGGTGAGGCGAAACCATGAGTAGGAGAGTGTGGGGCGCGGTGGGGTGGAAAGAATGCAGGAATGTGTGAAAATATTCTGCATGCAACGCCATGTGAAGCACTTGAGATGAACTGCCACATCAGAGGCAGGGTGCAAACTAGCAAAGGGCTGCTCTGGTGATCACATCTTTAAGCTCATCCACTCCCAACGCTCCCAGCAGCACCACACCCCCCTCCTCCCCCACATCTCCCTCCTCGTCCCCCGCGCGGCTCGCAGCACCGTTGCTCCTCCCCGGATACCCCACTCGCTCGCCGCCTCGTGGCGTGCCTGGCCTCCTGCCTGCCACGGCACGTGCGTGCAGCGCTGCAAGGGCGCGCTCTCTAGGAGCCATCCACCAGACCACACAGCCGGCAGCCGCATCCGGGCGCGCCACCAAGCAGCACTCCTGCTCCTCCGCACCGGCGCCACAGCCCCCCATGCTGCTGCTCCCGGTGGTAATACCCCCACCTTGATGTGGTCCAGAGCGGTGCGACGCGGTGGTGAAGGAAAGGGAAGACAGGGAGGCAGATGCGGGGAGGGAGAGGGAGTGGGCGTGGGCGAGGAGGGAGGAGAGGCAGGAGGAGGTGACGCGGTGGAGCAGCAGTGAGGAGAGGTCGGGCAGGGAGGGCAGCACAGTGGGGAGCGAGAGAAGGCGTGCGCGTGGGTGTGTGTGGTGAAGAGGGCGGGCGGTGTGTGAATGAGCATGTGCATTTGCACCAACAGCAGCATGTGACCATGTGGCCTCCACGGTGGGCAGCACAGAGAGCTCCACGTCTCTCAGCTGCACCGCCACCTCCCACTCCCACTCGCTCTCCCCCGCGCCCCCACTCCCTGCTCCCCCACTCCTCTCTTTCTCCTCTCCCCTCCTTTCCCCCTGGAGCAACTCCCCATCATCCTCAGCAGCCCCCGCAGCTGCAGCTGCTGCCGCTGCTGGTTCCTCTGCTGCCGCACCTCCCACCGTGCCCTGCCTGTCACCTCCCACATCACAGCCCCCACCCTCCACACCTGCTTCTACCTCAACAATACCCTCCCTCTCTCCCAGTCTCGTCGCCTCTCCATTTCCTCCACCTCTCCCCTCGTCCTCCTCTCCTCCTCCCTGCCCCTCTGCTCCCCCCCCTCCCCCTGTCCCGCCCACCCCTCTCTCCGCCTCGCCCAGCCGCCCACCGTGTGCCCCGTGAGTGCGGTGCAGAGCGGTGCAGGAGGAAGGAGAGCGGAAGGAGAGAGTCCAGGCAGCGATGGTGGGGTGGTGGGTGGCATGTGAGCAGACTGTCAGGTGCAGGCAGAGACGCGCCTGGTGGACGGGCCAGGGCAGTGGGGGGGAAAATGGCATGGGGAGCAGAGTGGGGGGAGAAACGGCATGGGGAGCAGAGTAGGGGGAGAAGCGGCATGGGGAGCAGAGTAGGGGGAGAAGCGGCATGGGGAGCAGAGTAGGGGGAGAAGCGGCATGGGGAGCAGAGTAGGGGGAGAAGCGGCATGGGGAGCAGAGTAGGGGGAGAAGCGGCATGGGGAGCAGAGTAGGGGGAGAAGCGGCATGGGGAGCAGAGTAGGGGGAGAAGCTGCATGGGGAGCAGAGCGAGGAGCAGGAGTGGGCGCGGGTGAGGTGAGCGAGTGAATGATGAGCGGTGGGTGGCGGGAGGGTGAGACTCAGGTGCGTAGGGAGGCGAGGGTTATGCACGGGCAGTTCAAAGGAGGAAAGCACAACACCATGCATGCAGCACCATACCGCGCATGGCACATATTCCCAGCAGCACCATACCATGCATGGCACACACTCCCAGCAGCACCATACCATGCATGGCACACACTCCCAGCACCACCATACCATGCATGGCACACACTCCCAGCACCACCATACCATGCATGGCACACACTCCCAGCACCACCATACCATGCGCAACAGGCATCGCTCCACAGCCCTTTTCTTTGCCCTGTGTGCCGCTGCCCCCCACAGCAACTCCACCACCCCCACACCCATCCCCACCTCACTCCCACCACCACCGCCACCAGCGCCAGCAGCAGCACCGCCAGCACCAGTGCCACCGCCGCTGCCTCCCCCTCCCCCGCCCCCTGCCCATCCCCATCCTGACGCCTTCCTCCCGCTTCCCGCTGGTCCCCCCATCGCACTCCCCCCTCCCCCCCCCCCTCACTCCTCCCCCACCACTCCAGCCCCCCTGCTGCCCGTACCCGTGCCTCCCCCCTCTCCCCCCCTCCCCCACACCGCATCCCAGTCCCCCCATCACCTCCCTCCCTCTCCTCCTCCCCTTCCCCCTCCCCTTCAATTTCCGAGTCTAGCAACTGAAAGCGAAGATTCCTCGCTCTTTCCTGTGCCTGCTGCTGGAGCAACAGATAAGCCTCCCCTAGATACACCCTTGCAGCTGCTGACTCTGCCTCATCCAAAAACCTCCCAAACGATGCGCTATCATGCCAACCCTCCGCCTGCTGCCCCTTCTCCTGATCAGTTCCCCCCTTCACCTTCTCCTGCTGCTGCCCTTCCTGCAAGTCACCCTGCCCCTGCCCCGCCAGCTGCTGTGCTCTCTTAGTTTGCTGCTGATGGGGGCGGCGGTGGTGGGCGCGGCGAGTGAGGGAGGACCAGAGGGGCGGGGCAGGGGCGGAGGAGAGGAGGCGCAGAGACAGGCAGGCAGGGGAGGAGGCGAGGGAGAGGGAGAGGGAGGAGGAGGAGATGGAGGCGAGAGGGAGAGCGACGGTGGAGGCAGCTGCTAGGTGGCTCTGAAGTGACTCGAACAGCTGCCGTGGGGGTAAGACCGGGAGCAGGGAGCAGCGTAGGAGGGGGGGACTGTGAAGGGAGGACCGTGAGGTGAGTGTGCTGTGAGGTGAGTGTGCTGTGAGGTGAGTGTGCTGTGCGGCACTAGAAGCAAGCAAGTAAGCACAGGTGGAACAACTGTTGGTCGCGTCCGCTGTGACAGCAACATTACCTGCCTGCCAGTCAACCGTGTTACCTGCCAGTCAACCGTGTTACCTGCCAGTCAACCGTGTTACCTGCCAGTCAACCGTGTTACCTGCCAGTCAACCGTGTTACCTGCCAGTCAACCGTGTTACCTGCCAGTCAACCGTGTTACCTGCCAGTCAACCGTGTTACCTGCCAGTCAACCGTGTTTCCTGCCAGTCAACCATGTTACCTGCCAGTCAACCGTGTTACCTGCCATTCAACTGTGTTACCTGCCAGTCAACCGTGTTACCTGCCAGTCAACCGTGTTACCTGCCAGTCAACCGTGTTACCTGCCAGTCAACCGTGTTACCTGCCAGTCAACCGTGTTACCTGCCAGTCAACCATGTTACCTGCCAGTCAACCATGTTACCTACCAGTCAACCATGTTACCTACCAGTCAACCATGTTACCTGCCAGTCAACCATGTTACCTGCCAGTCAACCATGTTACCTGCCAGTCAACCATCTTACCTGCCAGTCAAACGTCTTACCTACCAGTCAACCGTCATACCTGCCAGTCAAACCACGATCGTTGCGCGGCCCTCAGAAGCTCGTGAGCCTGGCGCACCGCCCTCCCTACACCCCCTTCCTCCTTCTCCTCCGCCCCCTCCTCCCCTTCCTTCCCCTCTGCCATCCTCCCACCCTCGCCTTCCTCCTCTCCCCCCTTCCCCACCAACCCCTCACTGCTAATGCGAGCACCAGCACCACCATCCCCCCCATTGTCTCCGCCTGCTTCCCTCCCAAACACGCTGACATGGAGCCTCCTGATTGGCTGGCCTTCAGGCGGAGCAGCCCGGAGCATTCCCTGCTTGTCCCTATCGAGTCTTAATGAGGTAAAGGGGAGGCTTGTAGCGGGTATGAGAGGCATGCTGGCAGGTAGAGAGGGCGCGTGAGGGAGGGAGAGGAGCAGCGATTGCACTGTGACGTCAGCAGCAAAGCCAGCTGCGGTTGAGGAGGCGGCGGAGAGAGGGGTGGGCGGAGGGGCGAGGGCAGGGTGGGTGCGCTTCACCTTCCACCGATGCTGTATGCTGCCAGGCAGGGCAAGGGAAGAGAGACAAGGCACGGGATGCGAGACAATGCACCGTAGGGGATGGTGAGTAGTGAGAGAGAATGGGGTGCATAGGGTGGCGGAAGAGGGCGGTGAGGGGAGGGAACGGAGAGACGGATGGTTGTGTTGATGTGTAATACATGGTATCAGGTGACTACCGATTGCTGTGGACAGCACGGGGGGGCATGCACGCAGGTCCAGTGAGGTGCTCACCGCTGGAGTGCGGTGTAGAACGGTGCGTCGTCGCTGACTTGCTGTGTGAGGCGTGCTGCTGCGTGCAGCAAGCCTCCCCCCACATCCTGTTGAGCCCGGCAGAGGGGCAGACGGGGCAGACGGGGCAGACGGGGCAGACAGGGCAGACGGGGCAGACGGGGCAGACGGGGCAGACGGGGCAGACGGGGCAGACGGGGCAGACGGGGCGGACGGGGCAGACGGGGCAGACGGGGCAGACGGGGCAGACGGGGCAGACGGGGCAGACGGGGCAGACGGGGCAGACGGGGCAGACGGGGCAGACGGGGCAGACGGGGCAGACGGGGCAGACGGGGCAGACAGGGCGAAGGAGAAGAATGGCGACAGTCATGAGGGGAAGGCGAGAACGGGGAGAATGGATGAGAGGAGCAGAGGAGAGGGAAAAGGGAGAGGAGGCGGAACAGACAGGAGCGGAAACTGGCAACCGGGGAGGGGAAGAGACGAGCTAAAAGGTGCACATATCCACACACGCACACATGTATATATGCACACACGCACACATGCGTACATGCACACATGTATATATGCACACATGCACACATGCGTACATGCACACATGCGTACATGCACACATGCGCACATGCACACATGCGCACATGCACATGCGTACATGGACACATGCACACATGCGTACATGCACACATGCACACATGCGTACATGCACACATGCACACATGGCACATGCACACATGCACACATGCACACACATGCGCACATGCACACATGCGTACATGCACACATGCATACATGCACACACATGCGTACATGCACACATGCATACATGCACACACATGCGTACATGCACACATGGCACACATGGCACATGCCCATCAGTCCAGAGCCCACCCCTTCACATTGCATACTCCCACATCTCATGCCCCGCCAAGCCCCACCACCTCTCACCACACTGACTCACGCCCCACCACACTGAACCGCACTGCACCCACCTGCAGCAGCGTGAGTTTGCCTGCCAGCCGGGCTGTGAGCTCGGAGCTCATCTCTGCTGCATGCTGCTTTGGCTTCGACACGCCACTCACAGCCAGCCCCTCTGCACCGCTCTCCACCGCATTCACCAGATCCACTATCACCCTCAGCTCCTCCTGTGCTGACGTCAACTGTGACATCACCCCCTGCCACGCCCACTCCCCATGTGCCTCCGCCACTGCCTTCCCCCCAGCTCCCCCTGCGCCTGCTGCCTTTCCCCCACCTCCTTTCAAGTCCTCCCCTCCCCCTCCCTGCCCTTTCCTCCCCTTCACCCGCTCATTCTCGTCCCCGCCAGCATCCCCATCCGCCTCCCCCCTGTCCCGCCGTTTCCGGCCCCCCTTCCCCCCCCGCGCGCCCTTCCTCTGTGCTGCGCGCGCGCGCGCACCGTCCAGCTGCGCCAGAAGAGCCAGCATGCGCTCTCCCTCGGGGGGGTCGCTGGGGGAGGGCGGGGGAAGGACGGGGTGGGGGGTGGGGGGTGGGGGAGGGAGGGAGGGATGCGGGGAAAAGGAAAAGGCGATCCTTGGCGATAGGGCATGGAGAGATGAAGAGAGCTGAGCACCCGACGGAGAGATGAAGAGAGCTGAGCACCCGACGGTAGGAAGGGCGAATGGACGCTATCTGTACGTTTGGTGAGTGCCATATTGCAACACGTGGTGGGAAAGGAGGGGAGGAGGGGGACGTGGCACGTACAGTACGTGTTGTGGGGAGAGGGGGGAGAAGCGGGGGGGAAGAGGGTGACGTGGCACGTACAGCACGTGGTCCTCGCTGCCGGTGACGTCCATCTGCCGCACGCGCTTCACGCGGAGAGGGTCCACCGTTACAATCACATCATCCGCGTCGCCATCGTCGTGGTCACCTTTCGCGCCCACGCCGTTCTGTGCTGCGATTGCACGCGACGCGTTCGTTAATCCGTCGTCCATCGGAAGAATGCTAGGGCTGGGTAAGGGAGTATACTCCTGTTATGGGGTACTTAGGGTTGGTTTCACGAGTTTCCGCGGTGGGCGCGGTTCAAGTGCTAGACCGGGCACCAGCTAAGACAAGGCGTAGTCCTGGCTCTGCCATGGCGGCTCAAGTGCTTGACTGGTCTAGACAAGGTTTTACAGCGGTTCATATTTTTTTCGCAAATATGAACCACGAAAACTGCGAGCTGTCACCAGATTCGTCGACAGCGTTCTAGGCGGTCGCGGTATCGTCCGGATGCCAGGGAGGGAGCTACACTGAAAACAATAGATGTTCTATAAAAACCAATTCTCACATGCACAAATGCACACAACGATTTTTGGGTTGTGTAGCAACCCTATATATTTGGTTTCACATTTTGGGGATATCATTTCAGAAATGGGTTTTCTGCACTCTTTGAAACACTATTTTTAATATATGCCTCAAAAAGTGGAAAAACGATCACTCCTGAACGATATGCCAAAACGCGAAAGCAAATATGCACGTGCCATGTCGAAACCATGAAAGCGTCCGACCATCACATCGTCGTCGATTAATACGGCGGATGGTATGACCAGACAACAAATTCTGGCATCGACATGTACGACGAAGGCGAAAACTACAAATGGCACAAATGATTATGCACATCACAGCACACGTACGACAAATACGAGTAGCTTTGAACATATCGAAGTGGATGCTAATATGAATCAACGTAGCAAGTGAGATTGATGGGGCCGTTGAAACAGCGAAGACACGCTGCCCCAACGGCGATGACAACCCCAAATTGCATACGCGATTCATAATGACACCACGCCTCGAAACACAGACAACACGTCACGTTAACATTAGTGAAACACAACACGTAGAACGAGGATAGCACGTAATGATTGTGAATGCTTCAAAGCTAATGCTAAAATGCATCATTGCTGCAGCAAAGGTTGATGGGGTCGTTAAAACAGCGAAAACTGTGAAGAAAGAGGAGTGGATTGACTAGGATTGTGTGGGGTACAAGTATGAAACCCTAGAATATCTGTACCCCCTATTGTCTACCCCACTACAGCCTACATAGGCTATATCATATATGTCTGACACACCCCCATAGGCAAAGTGAGGGAGAACAAGGGGTCAGACCACCAGTCAAGCAAAGCAAGCACAGGGTGGATCACAACGTCACCACACATTCCGAGCATCGGTTCAAGGCCACAACGCCAGTTCACATGCAACATCATATATATAAAGGTAAACAAGCAGGAGCAGGTGTATATAGATCACAGTACAAGAAAGGTCAAGAAGTGACCAAGTGAGGCCAAGTAGGCACAAGACCTAGCGTAGTACAAAAGCGCTTATGATCACAAGGCTGAAGTGCCTTGGTAAAGATCTCAGCAGTGTTGGCCCGAGAGGACACGTAAGCAAGGCGCAGCTGACCACGCTGCTGCAGCTCACGAGCAAGGAAGTAGCAAAGAGCAATGTGTTTCGTTCTGTGCTCCAGTCTGTGCTCCCGACACAAGGCCAGCATGGCCTTGTTGTCTACGTACAGAACGAGAGGAGAACGAGGCGGCTCTCCTAGGTCAGTCAGCAGGTAGGTGAGCCAGCGTAACTCTTGTGCAGCCATGGCCCACTGCATAGATCTCAGCCTCACAGCTGGAGCCGAGAACAGAAGACGAGCGGGTAGACCGCCACAAAACAGAGCCGGAACCAAGGCTGAAGGTGTAACCCTGTGACGAGCGCTGCGTAGCCTGGTCGTCAGCCCAACAAGCGTCTGCGTGACCTGTGAGGACCACTCGACTCCGCCCTCCAAGCCCCATGCCCGACGTACTGCACAAGTAGCGCAACACCCTCTTCGCTGCAGCCATGTTCTCTGGTCGGTGTCTCTCAGGAGCAACATAGCGTGCCAAGATGCTAAGAGGGTATGCAAGGTCAGGTCGAGTGCAGGTCATCAGGTACATGAGACAACCAACAAGCTCTGGGTACGGGCTACTCGGCTCTACGGACTCATCCGAAGGCAGAGCTAAGAGCGAGTGGTGAGCAGACAGAGGAGTGGCCTGAGGCAAGGAGTACGTGAAGTCGAAGCGCTGAATGACCTGCTGCACCATGTATGACTGAGTCAGGGTAATGGTGCGCCGTGCTCTGTCCCGGGTGATCTGCAAGCCAAGGTAGCTGCGCAGTTCACCCAGGTCTGCACGTGTGTCTCTTCTACAACTCGGACTTCACGTGGGCGAGTCCAGCAGTGTCAGCCGTGGCTAAGACCAAGTCGTCGACGTACACGAGGATGTAGAACGGCGGCAAGGAGGTGTCGGTGCGTAGAAACAGCGACGGGTCGGCAGTAGAAGGAGCAAAGCCAAGAGCCGCAAGTGTAGTCCTTAGTGTGTCGTGCCACTCACGGGGCGCCTGGCGGAGACCGTAGACTGGCCGCCGCAGGCTCCACTGGGTGCCAGGAGGAAACGACCCAGTGAAGCCAGGTGGGCGGCGCAGCCAGATCTCCTCGTGCAAGCTGCCCTATAGGAAAGTTGTGCTGAAGTCAAGAGAGTGAAGCTCGTAGTCGCGCTGAGCGGCTATGTGCAGCAGCACCCGAAGAGTGGTCATCTTTGGGGTGGGAGAGAAGGTATGTAAGTAGTCAACTCCCTGCCGCTGACTGAAGCCTCGAGCCACGTAACGCGCCTTGAAGACAGGCGGAGAACCCGGCGGCCGCTTCACCCTGAAAATCCACATGCCACTGACGATGTTCGCCCCAGGTGGGGGAACCTCGTAGACGTAGGTGCCTGTGGACTTCCAGGAAGCCATCTCTGCGCCCATGGCTGACAGCCACTGAGAGGAGTAGGGACCCTCTATCGCCTCTGCGTAAGAGCGCGGACTCGGGATGTCTGGTGCATCCGGGTCTCCCTCAGGTGCAATCAGCATGGACACGAGATGAGATAAAGCAGCAGCAAAACACTGGAACTCCTCCTGCCTGTCCTCAAGGACGTCCGTGCTAAGAGCACACTCACCCCCGACGGACGGAGGACAGACAGACTCAGACCCGGCAACAAGACTAGCGGCGTAGTCTAAACGACAGTGAGCAGCGAAGTTGACAAGCTCAGCAACTTAGGCAGACGCAGCACTGGACTCGAAGGAAGGGTAAGTGACAACAGTAGCGAGGAGACGCGTGATAGTAGGGCTGGCAGCACGAAGGGAGTCCGACTCAGGGTCAGCAAGAGCAGGAAGAGAGGACTCTGGAGGAGATGGCAAAGGGACACGCAGTGGAGCAGTGGAAGGATGCAGAGCCATCTGGTGCGTGCATGGGACCGCAGGAGGACGCTGACGCGGAACACGACGACCGGTGCGAGCAGCACGAACAGGCGACGCAGGACGAGACGCAGGCTCACGACGCTCAGCAAGACCTCCAGTAGGACCAGTGTAGGGAGAAGGAGCAGGCAGTGGGGAGGCGGGCTGTAACTGTGACTCGGATTGGACAGGCGGTGGACACCCTAAGGGAAGAGCAGGACCAGTAGAGGGCGGAAGACCAAGAACTTGCTCAAGGAGCGGAACGAAGTACGGCCGTGGCCCGCAGCACCTCCAGAACCAGCAGGGAGAGCACCAGCACCCCCAGAGCCAGCTCCAACATTCCAACAGCTCCACCAGTTGCTCCAGTAGCGCCAACTCCAGCACCCACAAGAGCATCGGCTCCAGCAGCACCTCCAGCTCCAGCACCTCCAACAGCTCCAGCTCGAGCAAGACCACCGGAAGACGAAGCAGCTCCAGCTCCAGTACCTCGAGCAGCACCTACTCGAGCTGCACCGCCAGCTCCAGCACCGCCAGCAGCTCCAGCTATAGTAGCACCACCAGGCCCGGCAGCTCCAGTACCTCCAGTACGAGCACCTCCAAGACCCGTGGCTCCAGAAACCCCCAGCAGCCCCACCAGCAGAAGGACCTCCAGCTGCAGCAGAACCTCCAGCGCCGGAAGCACCACCAACTCCAGCAGCACCTAGCAAACCACTCGCGTAGCTCGTCCGGAGAGAGTGGCTCCCGCTGGGAAGAAGCACCGGAATGACCTCCAGGCCCAGCACCACTAGACTCCACACGAGTAGGCCCAGCACCCTCAGGCTCCGCACCCCCAGACTCAGCAACCCCAGAATAAGCACCCCCAGACTCAGCACCCCCAGGTTCAGCACCCCTAGACTCAGCACCCCCAGGCTCCGCACGCTCAGGCTCAGCACCCCCAGACCCGGCACCCGCAGGCTCAGCACCTCTAGCAGCTCCAGAGTCAACAGCTACCTCGACAGGCTCGACCGCGTCTACCTGGGACACACCTGAGGGAGCAGAACCCTTGGGGGGGAGGGGGTCTACCGGGGGGGACCTGGCGCGAGGAAGAGCGGCGGGGGGGGGGAAGGGGAGCAGTGCGGTAGGGGAAGAGACGGTAGTAGGGAACCGACTCGTCGAACGTGACTTTCTGGGAGGACAGAACACGGCGCGAGGTGGGGTGGTAAAAGTGCCAACTAGGCGCGTCAAGAGGGAAGCCAAGGAAGACGCAGGGAACAGCACGGCGGGGACAGCTTGTCCGCAGACAAGTCGCGGACGAAAGCTCGAGATCCCCAGACACGGAACGCAAACACATCGCGAACCTTCCCCGTCCACCGCAGAGCAGGGGAGGTCTCCGGCATGGAGACTCGGGGCTGAAGGTTGATATGATGCGCCGCGTACTGAACTGCGAACGGCCACAGAAAATGGGGAGCAGCCGCATGGATCATGGACGTACGAGCGACGTCCATGACCATGCCAATGCAGCGCTCACCAATCCCATTTTGCTGTGGAGAGGCCGGAAGCGTGAACGTCTGGCGGATGCCCTCCGCACGACAGAAGGCTCGCAGAAGGTCGGAGGAGAACTCTCCACCTCTGTTGGAGTGCAGACGCAGAACAGGAAAGTCCGAGCCGAAACTCTCTCTGAGCTGGAGACGAGCAGCGCGGATCCAATCGATCAACACCTCAGTGACCTCACCCTTGC